ATTTGGAGTAGCAAGCTTGGCGGCTCGTGCCATTACGCGCTCAGTCTGCAAGCAGAGTGGTGGAGATGTGTATACGTTGAGATATTCAGCTATTTTAGCACGAGCAAAAGTTTTGGTAAGCTAACATTGCATTTTCTGTTATCTTTAAATACATGAGAGTATGTTTTCCAGTAATAGTATTAATGGCGTCTGACCGAGCGATAGGCTAGTCCTATTTTTTCCATGCTGTTTTCAAGCAGTGCTTATTGAAAGGTCATAGGAGGTTAGTAACCTAAAACAAATGTGCTGTCGACAGCTACAATGATTTCGTGCTCTTTTTGCAACAAAACGCTGAAGACGTTGAGGGGTTATGTGCTGCATTGTAGAGTTCACAGGAATGACCCCCATCATTTTTTCAAATGCGTCGGTAGTGAATGCAGGTGTACATTTATGCTTACGCAGCCTTTAAAGCCCGTTTCTATCGGGTTCACAATGTACCTGCACCCCCTATTGCTGGTAGCGCCATTTTTACAGACTTGAAATGTGCCACTACACTCTGTGAGCGCCAATTTCACACAGTGAAAGAACTTATATCCCACTTAACACAGCATATAGTGGAGGGGCGACCTGTGGCATGTCCAGTAACTGGTTGTAAAAGTATGTTCTCTGTGAAATCGTCATTTACTGCTCATATGTCCAGAAAACATAGAGAATGCTCTGTTGAAAGCATAAGCGACATGTATAGGGGGACACCTCAGTCTTCTGCTGTATTTGCAGGTGAAGATGCTCCCCAGAGCTTAAATGAGGCAACAACAAATGAAGGCACTGAACTGCCACAGAATTTCAGTGAGGCCTTCCTTAGGAATGTGTGTTTGTTTTACCTAAAACTGCAAGGACAGCTCCTCCTTCCAGCTTCAACAATACAGACAATTGTTGAAGAGATGCAAAACGTGCATGGGTTGGGCCAGCATTATGCTTTAGGTAAATTGCATTCACTTTTAAAAAATGACTTGTGCCTAACAGATGACGCTATTGTTAAAATCTGTGATTGTATTAAGGAGTCAGATCTGTTTTCTACCTGTCATAAGGGCCATAATAGATATAGAAACCCTTTGGCAAACAACCCCACTATGGGGCTGGCTGTCACAAAGTGTCAGGGTGTCATTGATGGTTAATTACTTTTTATTACAATTAACTGCAGCAGCAAGTCAGGCTTACAGTTTTTGTATTTGGTAATGTTTTACACAGAAGACTCTTCTCACACAACTCCAACACCACAGGAAGACAAATGTTTCCTGTTTTTCATACCAACTATCAGTGTCTGGTTACCCTTGTGATGTGTTTATGGGTGTTTTTTATGCTGCAAATCTTTCCAGGTCTGGCTGACTCATTGCATTTTTGGTTTTTAAATCAATCCAGCCACTAAATTGTATTTCAAAATACATGGATGCATGGAACAGAGCCATGTTTACCACTGCAGCATCCTCTGTTATTTTGTCAGCAGTGTGTAAACATCTGGGAACCAAGGACACTGGTTACTGGACCATTGGGAGAGGAGTATTGTCCCATTGTTTTCTGACTGTTTGCCATTTTTCCTCAGTCCATTTTATGAGGTTTTGCAAAGAAACAATGTTGGTGTTTCTGAATTAAGCTGCAATAGAATCATCCTTCAATTGTCCTACAAGGGGAAAATTTTGTTGTAACAGCAGCAAAAAGACACATATACAAACAGAACAGGAAACAGGACATGGAACAGAAGCACACACATTTTTTATAAATTTACATCATGGACAATAGTTACCAAAACAGAACTGTACAGTTATTAAAATGAAGGTACAGATAAGTGGATAACCCAGGTTGTAGTGTGCAAACAGAGCAGGATACTGAAAGATGTTTCAATGGTAAGACTATTTAGAATAACTTGAAATATACAGATTGTGTATCGTACCGGACTTCCTTTCTGCAGGCTTAAACCTGCATTTTTAGATGTATTTAGTGTAGTGTGGCTTGAAGGTCTGAAGCTCATTGGCATCCAGTGTTGATTTTTGGCCTTATGTCTGTGCGCATTGATTTCTCCTGATTTTCAGAATCTTTTGAAAACATTTTGCACTGTAGAAAATGAATTAGACAATACGATTTGTAGACAGGGTTTTTTGCAGATTGGTGAATCTGCTCATCTCTACATCTGACAATTTCTAAAGCCGATGAAACTCTTTAAACCTAGTAGTGTTAAAAAACAAAAAACAAAAACACAAAACAAAAAAAACAAACAAAAAAACAACAGCATGTAGCTTCATACTTGATGTGTTTAGTTGAATACTGATTGGCTAATCCGTGACATATAAAGGGAGAGAAGAGAAAGAAGCTTTAAACATCAAAGCTTTAAACCTACATCACCCATCATCAGTGCAGCAGCCATTTGTCACTGTTTCAACACTAGAAATACAAATGAAAAACTAATGAAACCATTTAGCAAATTTAAGCCATTCCTGTTATTAAAGCGCTGACTTCTTCAGCAGTGTTGAGCAAGTTACTCTGAAAAAGTAATTATAGTTACTAGTTATTTTTTCAAATAAGGTAACCGAGTTACAAGATCCTAAAAGAAATACTTGAAAAGTAACTATTGCGTTACTTTCAAAAAAAACATTTAACCCTCTGGGGTCCAGGATATAACTCGCCATTTTTTAAACTACTTTTGATGTTTCCTCTACATTTCACCTTTAAAAACTGTTTATTTGCCTTGTTTGGTATCATTCTTTTCAGCACAACCTCACGTGTCTGAATTTACAGTTATGTTTTCATTTTGACATACTTATTAACACAATTGATCTAAAATCAGACAAAAAACATAAAATCCAGAGTAGAAAAAGTTATAACTGTAACAACCACAAACATGTTTAATGAATCATATTTCATAACTTTAAATGCAAATATAAATTGTAATTTTAAAAACCTATGCACAAGTTTTGTAAACAACAAAGTTATTTGCCATTCTACCAACCGTGTGAATTTAACAAAGGACCCAAGATGCGGATATGCAGTGAAGTGAGAGAGCTTTATTGACACAGAACCCGAGTGATAACAAACAAAAGGAGAGTGTGGCGAAAAACCGAACTTAGACATAAACTACACTGGGAAAACTAAAACCTAAACAACAAACCTAAACAAGAGAGAAAGCAACTTGCAGGGGAAATTCACAGACAAGAAAACACCAAATAACACACAGGAGAACACACAGGGCACAATTTAGTTTTTACAGAATAAAATGTGAACAGGCAGGACTGACGCCTCAGTGTGTAGCTGTCCATACCTCAACGTTACAAAAGCACAACCGCTGTCCACACCCCAACCACACCTCACCTCACAGTAAATGATCATTTCCATTTTAAGCATTTCCAAATAATCATTTTCCATACTGCCAGTATAAATATACACAGTATACTGCATCACTACAATATACATGTTTTACACACTCCTTTTGTTGTTGACATTTACAGGCTGTGTGCAAAAGGCCACACTCTCCGTCCTACTAGAGCAAATGAAGCTTCGAGAAGCTTTGCGCTGGGGTGAACCAATTGGATGACAAGCTTCAGTGCTTCATCTGCCCATCACTACACAAAACCCAAGTGATAACAAACAAAAGGGGAGTGTGGCAAAAAACACAAGTTAAACTGAAACCTAAACAACAAACCTGAACACAAGAGAAAGCAACTTGCAGGAAGAATTCACGGGATGACGGCGGGAGATTCACAGACAAGAAAACACCAAATAACACAGACAAAGCAGCAACAGGCAGGAGAACACACAGGGCTTAAACACACACAGCAGTAATCAGGGGATGGGAGACAGGAGGGACGCACACCTGGGTGAAATCACAACTGACGAGGCACGGGAAACGTAAACTGAACACACTCACATAAGACAAGGACCTTCAGAATAAAACAGGAAACTAACAGACACAGAGAATCAGACAAGACACTGCACTAAACAGACAGACTCACAAGCAGACAGTGACACCATGGACAGACAGAGGGAACACAGAGAAGTGGGAGCAGGCAGGCACAAAACAAACCCCTAACGAATGGCAAACCGAACCCAAAGACATAACAGAACAAACAAGAACAAAGAATAATATAAAGAAACACAAAACACTGAGCCGTCAGACTCAGGACCATGACAATTACCCTTTATAACCATTTCAAACTATTTACAGAACAATCAGCTGTTCTGCATTCAATAAGATGCCACACAAATTATTTGTGCCACTCCCAAAATTTGAATGTCACATCTTCAGAGATGGAATCCAGCTTCACCCTTCGGGACATCCAGTCACATTACAAACATCTAATCATTCATTAGATCCATCATTCCAGCCACACTGTATCATCGTATCTCTGTCTAGCTGACGTAGAAGATTTAACACCAAGTTTAAACTTTACAATCAGATCATCATTTTTCCTTTGTCATTCATAACAGAATTCCCATCACATATAAATATTCGGTCATCACTTCATGTTTCACTAAGGCTACGTCCACACATACCCGGGTATTTTTGAAAACGCAGATTTTTCTATGCGTTTGCACCTTTCGTCCACACGTAAACGGCGTTTTTGGTCACTGAAAACGGAGATTTTTAAAAACTCCGGCCAGGGTGGATATTTTTGAAAACTCAGTTTTTGCTTTACGTGTGGACGAGAAAAACGCAGAAAACGCAGCGTCAAAGGTGTGCGCATTTTTGACGTCACACTGTGCGCCACGTTATTGTTTCGGTGAAATGAATTTCTACAATACTGTTACTGTTAATTCTACTCTCTGCAGTGTTTAAATGCTTACATATACACACAGTTACTGTCCTCCACACATACGACTCGGTTCTGCTTCTATGCCCCAGCTTTGTTTACTTTTTCCCACCGAGGCTTCTAGACTTCTGATTGGCCAACATTTCTGCACGGTTAGGAATCTAGCGCCACCTGCTGCTTTGGCATGTTCATAGCAGCGTTTTCCTTCATTTCTGCCTTTATGTGTGGACGGGATTATTTTTTAAAACGAAAACGGAAAATCTCCGTTTTCAAAAATACCCGTGTACGTGTGGACGTAGCCTCAGTCTCTGTAATTCTATTTCAATTAGATTTGTCTTTAGCACATTTTCAGATAAACATTCATTGTAACATAATCCCTTTTTGATTCAAATACTCAGGATTGCATTTTTTTTTAAAACTCTGTTTGTTATTCACTGTTTATTTCATACAACTTTTTTATGAAATCGATTTAAAAGTCGGGCATTCATTGCGATCAGTGGATCTAGCCACTAACACACACACACACAACAATGGCATTAGAACAGTCATTTTTACTACTCAAACAACTTTTCTCATTAATATGTCGATCAAACTTAGATTTTAGGGAAAAGGGGAAAAGTTCTGTTTTAGCACTCTGATCATTTTTAATCACATTAGGCTGAACATTAAGACTTTTTATCCCCTCTCAGCTGTGACGACAAGGAGCGCCCACTCTGTCAAGGTGTATAACTTGTCTGTGGTCGCTTGCGTTGTTTCTGGAGCTGCGTCACTGTGTCAACTGTGTCTTTCAGGCGGATTCGTTAAATAACGGCATGGTGTCTGTGTTTTCTACAGGGTGGAAAATGTTTTTGTCAGAAACCAAAGAATTGTGTCTGTACAGAGCAAACTTATTATATTTAAATTGGAGTGAAAACCAAAATGAACTGTTTAACTGAATGAAAATAGACAAGACTTGAAAAATGAAAATCCAAGAAATGAACATAAAATAAAGATACACTGGAAATGGTTCGACTGTTTAACTTGAGCCTGAGGAGTCATTTACTGAGCTGTCTACAGGACAGTGGGTGTTTTGTGATCTTCTAAAGTTGTATTTTGAACTGTGTACTTCTGGACCCTGTTACAGGAAGCATGCTGAGTTAAGTACATGGATGACTAGAAGAGGAAAAGATTCATCAGAGGAGCTCTGATAACATGATTCACCATGGCAACATGTAAAAAAGAACTAAACCTACCAACGGGCTGTAACACCTCATTTTTTGTAGAGCAATTCATTATTTCTGTCATTACTGGAATAAAATGCTTCCCCAGTTTAAATATTTATAATTTGATTTCATTTCTGCCTCACTCATATATGATGGTCGTCTTACAACATCTCTGCTATAGAGATGTTTTACTGAGTTACTGTTAATGGTCCAGACTTCAACTGTACTAACTATTTCAGGTTTAGCTGAATCAGAATCAGAATCACTATACTTTATTAATCCCTAAGGAAATTACCTGTCCACAGAGTCACAGAGTTAAAAGGATGGAGACCACAGGGGCGATCGTGGCCCAAGAGTTGGCAGTTCATCTTGTAATCGGAAGGTTGCCGGTTCGAGCCCCGGCTCGGACAGTCTCGGTCATTGTGTCCTTGGGCAAGACACTTCACCTACCTACTGCCTACTGGTGATGGCCAGAGGGGCCGATGGCGTGATACATACACAGGATGGTGATGAGTCTGCATACCGGCAGGAAGTTGAGCGGCTGGTACTCTGGTGCAGTCAGCACAATCTGGAGCTGAACACTCTTAAGACTGTAGAGATGACAGTGGACTTCAGGAGACATCCCTCAACTCTGCTCCCCCTCACCATATCAGACAGCCCTGTGTCAACTGTGAAGACCTTCAAGTTCCTGGGTACAACCATCTCCCAGGACCTGAAGTGGGAGACCAACATCAACTCCATCCTCAAAAAGACCCAGCAGAGGATGTACTTCCTGAGACAACTGGGGAAGTACAGTCTTCCACAGGAGCTGCTGATCCAGTTCTACACTGCGGTCATTGAGTCTGTCCTGTGCTCCTCCATCACAGTCTGGTATGGAGCAGCCACTAAACAGGACAGGAGCAGACTGCAGCGGACTGTACGGGCAGCAGAAAGGATCATCGGTGCCCCCCTGCCCTCCATCCAGGATCTGTACCTCTCAAGAACCAGGAAACGGTGTGTGTGTGTGTGTGTGTGTGTGTGATTTACATTGCTGTGCTTGAGAGCCACCATCTACCGGAACCAAATTCCCTGTATGTGTCTGCACATATACTTGGCCAATAAACACGATTCTGATTCTGATTCTGATATTCGCTGTTCTGTCGCCTGTGCAGCTGTGGCTACAACTGTAGCTTGCATTCACCAGTGTGTAAATGAATAGTGGAATTGTAAATGCAATCCATCATTATTATAAGATAAGATAGATCTTTTTTGGCGTTTATTGGTATCTCTCCCGATTGCAGCTCTAGGTTTTTACATTCAACATTCTTTGGATAGGAAAAAGGGGAAATAAGAGGACTGGGAGGTTCTGAAAAGTAACTTGTTTAATTTGCTACACTCTGAGCTTTGATAGTAACTTTATTATTGAGGAAATAAAACTGTTATTCTGGCAGTTCTGGTGCAGCAGGAGGGTAGGAGTCAAATAACATGCATGAATATTTTATACAGTAACACATTGTGGCCAATCTCTAAAGTGATTAAAATGAACTCCAACCATCACCAGCGCAATATTAAAAGCCTCATTATGAGCTATGAGATATAAGATATTTCAACCCTCTGCTCGCTTGGTAGATGCATAAGAAGTGTTGCATGGAGCTGGGTCAAAGCAAGCCCTGAACCCTTAATGTGAGAGTTTCAGTGAAAACAGGAACAGCAGAGACCTCTAGTGGTCACTGGGAAGATCATCATCATCAAATCAGTGAAGGTTTTTAGTATATTGCAGTGAAAGCGACTTTAGTTGATCTTATGAGAGCTGCGTGGTGAATTAAGGAGTGTTGGTGTGTTTACCTTGTGCAACTTCATCAAGTTCATAGTTTTGAGCCTGCAAAAGAGTTTTACGAATTAGTAAAAACGCCATGTCAAATTATATGTGTAGATCCATCTGTTCAAGTAAGGAACAGCTTAAGACATTTATCTTGTTTCTGCACACAAATGTATTTTAGGGTTTATAGTTAACTTTTAACTAAACTACAACATCATATGTTAAAGTTATTGATAGTGAGCTGCAGTCATATGATGGTGACCTGGATGACTGTGCAGATCAAAACGCAAGAAAAAATAATTCCGCCATTTCAGACTGACAGAGTCTGGCAGCTGTAACATCTGTATATAACAGAGCCTTTTACCTGCTGATGTGCTGCTGCTTGATGATGCTGTCCCCCTCTGCTGGAGCTCCCCTCACTGATCCAGTTGATCTGCTGGTTGGTTGCTTCTGGTTTTTGATGTTTTGCATTACTGATCATTTGTTGAGCAACGTTAAAACAGCCGTCCCAGTCTTTCCTTTTTATGTTGCTCGTGATTTCTTTAGTCAGAGTTTCATTTGCTTCTTTCCTCAAAAGCTCCTCCAGAACTTTTTTCTCTTCTTCCAAAATCAGTTTGTAGTAAAAAGTTTTCTTGTTGCACCAACTGTATTTTTTTTTAAACCATTTTCTCCACCCACTCCAAGTCATGAAGAAAGCGACAACAGTCATGCTGAGGAGCAGAGAGTAACCAGCAAGCTGAAAAAGAAGCAACAAACATGCAAAACATAACAGCATTAATGTGTGTTTGCTGTAATTTCATTAAAAAAGCAGAATAAGCATAGAGCAAGAAAGTCCTCACCCTTGACTTGATTTCCACTTCAGCTTTTCGAGCTTCTTGTTCGGTTGTGAGGTTCTTAGATTTGCAGAACAGCTTACTCGTGTTTTCATCAATGTTACAACAACCATACCAGTCCGTGAAAATCAACAATGCTACAATCCACAGCAGGCTGATTAGAAACGCTCTGATAACGCGCTTGAGTACAAGGCATAAAAACGTAGATGGATGTTTCGCGGTGCTCCGAAATGTCTGGTCTATCAGGAGCATCAGGAAAAATACTAAAAAAAAAGGCACGACGACGATTTCATTACATTCAAAAGTTCTGCAAGCGCACGTCGCGGTCTGCAGAAGAACAGTGGCAATGAACACCCCGACGACTGTCGCGACGGTGCCGATTTTTCCAGGACCAACTGCAGAAAGCAGGAGGTTTTTCCACATCTTGAACAGTTAGGTGCCTGCTGAGGCTTCAGCTTCTGTCATGTAAAATTACACCAGGTATCACAGTCTCTTTGAAATTCAGCTTAATATCTCAGTCCAATTGCAGCCATGAAATGAGCCCTCTGTTCGGTGGCAGGATGCAAACGCAACGTGACGTTATGAGTTTTAACTGCAATCACTTCAGAATAATTAAAAGTTTCGTGTCAACGAAAGTCACTCTTGTTCTACTTCACTTAATACTGTGAGGAGATGGCGTGTCACCGCAGACTTTTTTTTAATTAAAAAAATAAAAACGAAATGTCCAAAGCACTCAAACAGCGAGCGGGTACAGATCAAGCTGAGGTGTAAGGTGACAAAATGTGTGATTATGTGGGCGTATTCACCTTGTGTGACTGACTGTAGGCACAAAATCTGTTTCCTGTTTTTCGTACCAGCTATCACAGTCTCCGGTTACCTGTTTGTTGTGTTCATAGTTTTCGTTACTCCTTAGCAATGTAATAGGCCTGGTTGACCTATTACATTGTTGGTTTTGAAATCAATCCATGTCTTTTATACCATAAAGTTAAATTTAAGAGAGGAAAAATTAAAGTAGACTGTCTCCCTGCAAATGCTTTTCACAGAGGATAGAGGGTCCTGATTACCAGCGATTATGGGTATTCTGATAATATTCAACTGTCATAACACTGTGAGTTTCCTCCTCTCTCTAACTTTCCATTACTCTTTAGGCCTCATATCATTTTTAATTTCTTTTACTTGCAGCTTGACAAGTCAAGTTAAAATGGAAAAGGTCTTATATAAAAGAAAGGGACAACAATCGAAAACATGATAAGTTTAGTTGTTCATTCCTCTTTCATTTGCTGCAGTCTCAGTAAATCATGAATGCCTGTATTTTTTGAGGATAATAAAAGTCCAGTTCCCTAACAATCAAACACAACATGATGCCATGAGGTGTTTTCAACAGCACTCACTTCAGGATCATTTGGACTGTCATGCAAAAAGCATTTCAAGCTTTTTGTTTAACAAGACATTTAATAAAGTTTTATAATCCTATAAATTCAATCAGTGCAACCAAGGTGCGTTGGCTTTAGGTACAGCTATTCAAACTGCAACTAATGCATTCAAATACAGTAGTTTGGCCATAGATCTCATTATTTATTCATGACCCTAACCCCTTTTTTATGTACTTCAGGCATGTATTGACAGGTGTCCTTCTCCTGTAGATAAAACAGAAAGCTTAATGACATACTTTAACCTGCATCAGTCTCACTCGAATCCCCAGAGTTTAAATATCAGAGCACAGAGGGACAATGAGAACCTGTATGAGCTCAGAAACCCCAACAGTAAAGATTGAGCCACAGTGGATATTAGAGTGTTATTGTGTTGAGCTATTTCTAGACAACATGTTTCATGCAAGTTTCTGTAATTGTATAGAAAAAAGAATTGACCAGAGCAGTATAGAGTGCATATTTCAAAGAAGCTGCAACAGTAGAATACAAATACATTTCCTTAAGTGAAACGCAGGAGAGAGTTGGTGCCAAGATAAACTAACAGGATGTGATGCACAAATTTGTATAAATATGTGAGACAGTAAACATTTGGCGTGAGAACCTTGAATATAAACCACAAGTCTTCCGTTTTTGCACATTGTTTTTCTCTTTTTTCTTGTTATTGCCAGCATGTGTTTTCGCGGCTTGAATTCAGCTGTTGTTCCAGGTTACAAATTATATCAATGAAATAATTAGGCTAGAAACTAAAAAGTAATTTATTAGTTGCAAATTTTCTGTCAATGCAAAAAAAAGTGCATGCAGGTAAAGGAACATATGTGTTCAGTGTAGGAAATCTACAGTTACTAAAAACACAAATTAAAAAGGAAACCCATTGAACTATTTTGTCATGAATGGGCACAAATGGGAGGCTTTCCTGGGATTGCAAGTGCAGAACCAGACCAATGAGTAAAGAGGGGTGTGAAGCAGATCATCACTCACAGGTACTACAACAGATACACTGAAGACAGTGACATTGCGCTGATGGAGCTGGACACCAGAGTCAGCCTAACCCAGCACATCAGACCCATCTGCCTGCCTTCCTCCACCTACTTCTTTCCATCAGGCCAAGAGGCTTGGATCAC